CACGTCGGTGTTGGCCGTGGGGTGTAATGCCAAACACCTTGCTGCTCCAGGTGGAGGTTCTTGTTCCTTGGTACACATCCAATGCAAGAGGAAGACATCTGATGGCTACATAAAGTTAGAAAAATGAAAACAAGTAACACTCGTGCATGCGACATCACTTTGGGCAATTCAAGTTTGAAGCCAAGAAGCTTCTGCGTCTTGCGGAAAAACCATACCCTGCCAGTTTCGTCATAACAAATCCACTCGGCAGAGCGCCCAGGGTCAGGCAGATGCTGGTATTTGCAAACCATCTCGTCACACAAACCATCTCGTATTTTTAACCTCATCGGGGCAGCGGACTGCGGAGTATGAAGGGGCTGCATCGGAGCAACGGGCTGCAGGATGCAACACGAAAAACCAGCAGCAGTTTATGTTTGTATCACAATGTCTTGCAGTTAGGTAGGTAGGTGGTAAGTAGGTATGTAAAGAGTTCAAGGTAGGTAAATCTTTCTAGATCTAAGCATCTTTCTATTCATGGATTTGCTGAAGCTTGAATTTGAAATTTATTGAACATAGATATCTGATGTCTCTGCCACTGGTGTGTTGCCGGCCAAGGGAGCCTGGAAATTTTGAGCCAAACAAGGCACCAAAGATCAGTGTCAAGTAAAGTCAAGTTGAGAGAGACATGCTGGCACCATGTTGGCAAAGAATCTAGTCGAGGCTTCTGCATACATACTCGCACCTGCAGGCTCCATGGCTATAATAGCTTCAGCGGAGTACACTCCCTCAGTCTCCAGCCTTGTGACATTGAAGCGCGCGAGCGTATGCCCTGCATTCCTGCATTTCAGCTTTGATTTCAGCTTTGATTTCACAAAGCAAGGACAATGACTCTATGAGTATAGGTCATTTGTGGACGACATGCCGACAGAACAAACACCGAATCAAATCTAGACTATAGTATAATAGCCTTGAAATGAGAAAAGCAACAGCATGAACTGACGAAGTATGCGTCAAGTCAGCATGACACAAACTGGTAAATTGGGCTGCTGAGAAATTGAAAGCTTGACCATGAGTCTTTTGTTCCACCCTCTGCACGCTGGAATATCACTCATTCAAACATTTAGGGTAAAAACTTTGTGGTGACACCAAAATTTCATCAGTGCTTAGCTTCTTGTAAATTACAGCGCCAAGCATGCATTCAGTCTGCGCAAAGATTTCGTCACCGCTGGGCCGAAACCTGTTGGGTCCAACTTTGTTGAACAAACGGGCATAAGTAAGATGGTGTTCCTCATACCTCACATGGAACAGAACCTTGGCCAGTGCAACTGGCTCACTCAAGGAAACCACATCGTCAATTCGGCATCGATCTGCTGTGGCTGAAACAAGAAGGGCGGAGGTCAAGAATGGGAGACCCACATGAACCCTGAATGCTTCAGCCAACTCCTTGCTGGCAGGTTTGAAAACGTCTGAGGCTGTCTCATTCAAATCATGGATGTGCGTCAGGAGAACCTCACGCAAGACTGAGCGTTCCATCGATGCATGCCCAGAGTGTTGTTGGTCCGCCCACCTTCGCAGAACATGGATGTTGTGTGACATGTTACGAGGAACAAATCGTAGTAAATCAACTCTACACACAGCCACAAGTAGCGTTCAAAAGCACACTAGCAAAGTAAAGCGGCCTTTTCATGATTTTGTGCCGCCGTTCGTGCACGAAACATGTGCAAAGAAGCCCGTGTTTCTGGAGTTGCCATCCTAAATGGAGAGCAAAATGGTGCTTTGGCAAAAAGTGAGACTCGCCGTAGCAAGCCTGGCATAACAGAAGAAACACAAAAGAAGCAGCGTTCAATCTGCACGTGATACATCCGTGTTCAAACAAAACATGTAGGCAAGGAGCGACAAAGTTTCTCAGGTGTGATTCAACTTTGTCTTGGAAATCTTTGGCATCAATTGCTCCAGTTGCAGTCAGCTTCAAGCTGTCCAGAATTTCGCACAAGCTGTAGTAAGACTTGATTGCAAGATGCAACTCATTAGTGGGCGTCTGAACCGTGTGATGCAAAAATGACCGCACGACAGGATATACAGCAAGCGCATCGGACGAAGTGCACTTGAACTCTTGATCACTTTCTTTCTTCTTCTTAAAGACCAATCTTGCACTGCAGCTGGCACCACCATGGATGTCAGGCCATATGAAAGCCATGGTCCAGTCATGAAGCATTGACTGTTTGAAACCATCATCGGCCAATCGACCCAACAGTAGGGTCATTTCTCTGTGCCAAACCCCACTCACGAGAAACACGTGCATCGGGTCGTAGGCTACCATTGAAATAGGTCTGACCCACTGACGGAGGCCAACATCCAAAAGGAGTCCCGCAGGGCAGTGATTAAAGCCGAACTTCATTTCCAATTCTGACAAATGTTTTTTGGTCGTGCCACGTGTGGATTCGGCGTTCAAATAATCAATGATCTGCCACACTGAATTGTCCGAATGCAGACAGAGCTGCGATGCATCAGTGACAGTATGCAACACCAATTGGCCCAAATTGGCAGGGCGGTATCTTGCGTTCACAGTAGTCTGGCAGAAAAGGCACAACATTTTGCCGCTTGCCCCTTTGTTCTCCACGACCTGTTTCAAAGCGGCTTCGTCCGCCAGGATGTAACTCAGAACGAAGCACATGATGCGATCTTCACCATGGACTTGGACGGATATACCAGTGGACATGTTGCCAGATGTTTTCAAAAAAAGCTTTGACGCAATGCCTGAAGAACTGGCTCATGCCATCTTGCAACTTGTTCACAAGATCCGTGCGGATGCACGTGAGCACTGACCATGCGTGCTCTTGCGTTAGCTCAAAGCCTCCATATTCTTGCACTGAGAAGTACACTGATTGTAATTTTCTTCGATTGTGTACCTTTAGTTGGTTCCCTGGAGAGATTTCGTCACAATATAAAATTATTCGCCATGGTCGGTTGATGTTGTTCACAGTCTGTGAAGCCTGATTCAGAAGGCGCATCATCCGTGGGCAGGTTCGTGAAGTATGATACATCCATGCAGCAGGATTGCACATTGGAACTCTGATCTGCCCACCATCCACTGTATCCAACTCCAAGGTTTCAATGATAGGGCCATACGGTGTTTCAACCTGAGATATGGCGTCCTCTCTTCGGCGCTTCACAGTGGATTTAGAGGTGTGCAGCGGTATCTCCCCAGAATTCTTGATGGCCGTCAGCACCTCTGCTAAAGCAGATTGAGAAATAAAGCTTTTCCTGCCAAGCTTCGAAATGTCGAGCGCCATGGCGATATATAGATTTCAAAGGCGAGCCGCGTATTTGCCCTGCCCTTGCAGCACGCGAGCGATAACGCCCGCAGTGCTGTGACTGAGACGGTGTACTAATGCTGTGTGTAAACATGATATATGAATGTACCACAATCATTATGAAAAATGATGCATCCACGCATGCAGCTGAAAACGAAAACAAACCCAGCGTCTGCAGAGCGACATGTGTTTTGCACTGGTATAGAATGACTGGGCGCATCAGCCTGAATCCTGAACATTAAGGCATGCAATCACTGTATATATAAATGTATACACTTGAAGTTTCACAAGCATATCCTACAAACACAAACAAATGCTATGACGACCATTGCAGGGTATAACAACCATTGCAGAACTTCAAGCTCGACATTGTTTCACGCCATCTCCACGACACGGCACTTAGCCATGGTTCACCGAGAAAACTATGAGCAGGCAAGTCAGGAAAGTCAGGGTTCACCGGCCGGGAAAACCAGCAGCGACAGCTTCAGCCTGAATCCTGAACATTTGCCCTGAAGGAGAACGGAAGTGCTTGTCCTTCTGTCCGGACTCCCTAACCCTGATCTCCATGGACCACCCTCCCTTGCACTTGATAATCTGGTGCTGCTTAACCGCCTTCGACCTGCCCTTGCCAGAAGGCTTCGATCCGCCTTTGCCTTTGGCACCCTGAGCCTTTGGCTTCGGGGTAGGCACGGCTTTGCCTGCAGGCCTCTTCATTGGCCCAGGAATCTTAGGAGTGGTTTCCAGCAACACCGCTGCCTCTGGCTGGTTCACCTCGAGCATGGCCTTGTTGGGAGACATTTCCCCTTCATGCCCATTTTCCTTTGTAGAGCTCTGAGGGCCAGGTTGCTTGTCCTCAATGGCCTGCAACGGTGCTGCTGCAGGAGCTGCAGCGTGAGCACTTGATGCATGAGTGGCAGGATCAGGCATCAACATCTTGACCTTTGGTGCCGCCGCAGGACGAAAATTGCCCAAACCCACACCAGAGCCACGAGCATCTGGGTTACTGCCTGAGTGCCACATCATTTGGTTCATTTGCTGCATCAGCATCATCATCATATTTTGCATTGCTGGCTGGGCATCTTGCTGAAACTCCACCATAGGTAACGCCTTCGGGTTCATGGGACCACTGAGCTTGCGTTGCTTCACCTCACGCTTGCTACCACGCAAACTCACATCCTGCTGGATCACACTGTCTTCATCCAGCCTCACTGGCTGGTCTTCATCTCCGTAGGACTCAGCGAAGCACTCCAACTCACAAGGGTCGACTGGAAAAACCGCCTTGGTAATAGTGATGCCTTTTGACATCTTTGCCAGCATGCTTTTCAATTGTCGTTTGTACTCTACACTGGCCGTGGAATCTGCCACGTCTAGCCCTGCAACTTGGGCCGCTTGGAGAATGCGTCCCCATACATGCTCTTTCGGCAAGATGAGGCCCACTGACTTCATTCGCCTTGCAATACCTTGGTTGGCTGACGTTGCATGATGATGAGTAAGCAGAAACATCAACCACCAGTATGCACACATCTGATTTGTGAACATCATGTCATGTACACGCTGACACTAGTGCAGTGAAAGCACAATCCAGCTTGACAGCAAGGGGTGCATCTTTGTCGCTCAAGCACTTCACATCCTTTTCGCTAAAGTAGTTCGCAAAGCTTTCAATGCTTTGGTTTTCTCGTTTCGCACCCTTCCTGCTGCCTGGGCTGGAATTCATCAAAACCTCATGGATCCACTTTCCCAACTTGTTCTTGTGGTCATCGCTCCAAGGACCCTTCGAGATCAATGTGACAAACTCACTGGCGTTTTCTGGAGTACAAGTCAGGTCCTCTCTACCCGCAAGACGTTTCACGTGATCATCCATCACAGCCTCAAGGCGCTGTTTGTCAGATATTTTCTTTTGACTTTCAATGAATGAATGTATGCCATTGATCTCCTTCAAAAACTCAGCAAACAGCATGGCTGCAGGCACACACGATCGCAAACTAGCGTACACGTGCAAGGAGCTACAACAGCAAGCTTGAGTCAAAGCACCTTTACATTTGTGACGAAGCATCAATGCATGACATGGTATGGTGAACACGGTACGATCAGCCAAAACCAACTGAACACCAAAATGCTTGATAGTGAGACATGACAGTCCAAGTTTACAGGCGTGAGAAATGTCACCGTATAAAGTCATGGCACAGCCACGCTACGATTGCAAACACGGAAGCAGCATGGGCTAAGCTCGCTGCTTGCACCATTGCTGGGCTACACTCGCAGGTGCATACAGTCAGTTTTTCACACTGCAAGAAAGGGTATGCTACACGGAAAAGTAGCTATATACAAACTGACTATCCACCGAGGTCGTCATCGGCTTCAGACACATTCGGTTCTTCAAGGCCTTCTGAACTGCGCCTCTTCCGCTGTGGTGTCATTGAAGATCCCTTCTTCCTTCGGCGTCGCTTCCGCTTGGGCGATGCAATCTCTGCATCTGGGCTGTTCCGGATCGCTTCGAGCACCTGCTTGACCGTTTCCAGATCCAAGCGAAAAAAAAGGGGGCCTTTCACTGCGAAAGTGGTCAACACCCTGCTGTTTCCGAGCTGAAGCTCCACGGCGCCGCCCTTCACAAAGAACTGATCACCATCATGTGCAGCTCGGAATTTGTGGTCTGCTGCCACGACCTCTCCAGCTGATTCCATAGCCTGCCTCTGCACTTGTGCGAAAGCTTCATTGCAGGCCTCACGCCTAGCAACGTACAGATCGTGCCAGATGCGCTTCTGAGAAATGACATTGTTGGACTTTCCTTTGTGCCTGTTCGCTCTACGTCCAGTTGTCAATTTGGTCAAGACACTGTCATGCTTGCTGACCTTGAAGAAGGTCTGGCCCTGTACAACCTGGGTGGTTGGGTACCATGCAACCTTTCCAACCCTGATGGCATGGACAGTGGCTATGGAGATCTCTGGATAATCTTCCAGGGCATCAGCGTCCTGGGTGTCATCGTTTTCCTCACCAGATGCCATGAAGCGATGCAGGGACAAGATTGCTGCAACACTTTGAGCCATAAGGCATGCGAGCTACGCCCTGCAGTGCCAGGAACGCGTGCACAGCCCGCGTCCCCTGCATGTCTTTTCATGGCTATATACTGCCCTGACATCGCGCCTTTCCACATAGTCCTGCAGCCGGGGTTCGGGTTCACCGGGTGTGTTGAAGCGATATCATGTGTGGGAATTAGGCTGGGCCATCCAAACGCATACAACTACTTTGTCAAAAATGGTGGTTGGATTGAGTTTGAAGACCGGGCCGATCGGGTGTGTGGAACCGACATCATGTGTGAGAGGTGGTTTGGAGCATCCAAAAAACTAGAACTACATGGTTAACATAGCACTACCATCTTTGTCGCAACTCATAGAACTACATTGTTAAAAACAAATGTGGTTGGAATGATTCTCAACACCGGGCGACCGGACCGATCGGTCTGCGTTGAACCGACATCATGTGTGGGAATTGGGTTGG